CCATCAAGCTTGGTTATGCAAATGCTAAGGTCTGTTTCTTTTCCTTTACGCGTGCGCTGTGCTGACTCGTTTTCAGATCTACAAGTGCGAAAATGAGGCCTGCCCGCGACCGGGATGCTACAGTTCTTACAAGTCGGATAAAGAGGACCGACCGATGTGCGAACGACCACGCTGTGGACATCGCATGAACCTCTTGAGGTAGTGTTGCTTTGTCTCAAGGTGTATTCAGCTCTCTTACTCTTTTACAGACATGTTTCTTTCGTCGATTGCCCTGGTCACGACATTCTCATGGCTACTATGCTTAACGGTGCCGCAGTTATGGACGCTGCGTTACTTTTGATTGCAGGTAACGAAACCTGCCCTCAACCCCAGACATCTGAGCATCTTGCTGCCGTCGAAATCATGAAGCTCCAAAACATCATTATCCTTCAGAACAAGGTTGATCTAATCAAGGAACAGGCCGCCGAGGAGCATTATAAGAGTATAGTTGCCTTCGTTAAAGGTATGTTTTGGAGTTATATGGTTTGCTTGCGTACGCTAAGACGATATGTTAGGCACTGTCGCCGAGTCATCACCCATCGTCCCTATATCCGCCCAGCTAAAATATAACATCAACGCTGTCAACGAATACATCGTCAAGCGCATCCCCGTCCCCGTTCGTGAATTCACTTCCTCACCTCGCCTGATCGTCATCCGTTCCTTCGACATCAATAAACCTGGTGCCGAAGTGGATGAACTCAAGGGCGGTGTTGCTGGTGGATCTATCCTTACCGGTGTCCTCAAAGTCGGTATGGAAATTGAGATCCGCCCTGGTATCGTCACAAAGGACGCCCAAGGCAAGCACCGATGCCGCCCGATTTATTCGCATGTTGTCTCGCTACATGCTGAGAACAACAATCTCAAGTTTGCTGTCCCCGGTGGTTTGATTGGTGTGGGTACGAGAATAGATCCTACCATTTGCCGTGCGGATAGGCTTGTTGGTCAAGTTTTGGGTTCAGTCGGCAAGCTTCCTTCGGTGTATACTGGTGAGTGGGTCCTTTCCCTCTTACAGCGATCAGAGGCTTATTTGCTTGAAGAATTGGAAATCAATCTTTTCTTGCTTCGTCGGCTGCTTGGCGTTAAGACAGATGACAAGAAACAGACCAAGGTGCGTATGCCCTTTTTGCTCGTCATCTAACTCCCATAATCTTGTGTAGGTCTCGAAACTCGTCAAAGGAGAGTCGTTACTTATCAACATCGGTTCTACGTCCGTTAGTGGACGTGTTCTGAATGTCAAGGGTGACCTTGCCAAGATCCAGTTGACACAACCCGCTTGCGCTGAGATTGGCGAAAAGGTTGCCTTATCCCGCCGTATTGAGAAGCATTGGCGGTTGGTTGGTACGTTACTCGATTACTTACATCATACGACACATGGCTAACATTCTCAATACAGGTTGGGGTAATATACAGCGCGGTACGGTTCTTGAAGTTGATTGATTCATGTATTATGCATTCCATTATAAATAGCACAAGTGAGGGAGATTATTACTATTCACATTAAGGCATAGTATGATTCTTATGGTTACATTGAACAACGATTGAAAAATCTATACCACAACAGGAGTAAGGAGATCTAAGCCTGAAAGTTCTACGCCAGCGAATGAACGACTGAGAATACGGAGTGATTGTAGTTCGCACTTCTTTAAAAAGAGATGCAGCAATGAGATTGCATCTCTTGCCACGATTCATAGCGATAGATCGACTGTGTTACGCCACCTAAAGGGAAGAAGTCAGAACAGTCTTCGGGATAAATAAAAGTGCTAACCAAATAGAATCTGTGGGTTGAAGTGGCCATGCCACAGGCGGGTTTCATATGGAGTTGTAAGCAATATTGGTTAAAGGAGAATCTTGGATGATGTTAGACGCCCATGTCATGCGGGATGTATCGTCATAGACATTGGGGAATAGTTTCCGGCAGCGGTATTGTCCAATCATAATATCGCAGCAACTTTCCTAACGCCGCCATCGGTGAGTATTATATGCAAATTTTGACATTCTTCTGGGGACAGGGATGACATATGATACACTTCCCTAGCAAATCTGTTATTTTCGAGTAACGCCTGCCTTACAGCTTCCGTCCACGTTTCCGGGATTGTATCTGACCACTGCGCATGCCATGCCCTTTCCTATCTCGTCCAACCGTCATAAAACAATCATCTTAGTCCCGAATTTGGGTGACTGGGCCTCAATCGGTGATACATGCGACCTTGGATTGCAACGAAGCCTTGAAGACCAGATAAGATTGGAAAAGGCTCTGTCGACTCCAAAGCAGCGAAAGAGAAAAGCAAGTTGAGCTTTCTGCTAAGAAACAATATGCCAGATTGCATAGTCAACCATTGAAACTGAGGAGGTAAAGGAGGCAATGGTTCAATGACTCCACATACTTTCCACGCAGTCCACAACAAAAGCCGCCACTCCTCTCTCCAGTCAAAAGAGATATATTACAGTATTGGCACTGTCTATTCCAAAGAAACTGCGGTTCCCTACATCAAGAAAGTTGGCAAACACTATAAAGGCAGTTATAGCTTCTATAGTGTCCATAATGTCCATGGCAAATGGCTCTATTTTCAGTATGATAGCTACAGTGGAAACTATGGACAACTATGATAGGAATGCTAATGGCCCGCAGACTCAATAGCAGATAACATTTTATTCCTTCTGATTTTTTGATTATTCAAAAAATGCTATTAAATATATATAATCAAATGGTTCTATTCATGTAAATATATACAGTTAAATACAATAAATACAGCAGAGATTCAAGACTATGCTACCATTTAGAAACTCAATGTACACTTACTGAGACTCTAGAATACAGTAATTTCTGAATAATAAAGATCTCAGTACCTGCTAAAGGACATGGAATTTCCTGTTAGTAATAGAGTCATTGGTACAAAATGCAAAACATTGACATACCAACAGGTGATAAGGTGATAAAAAGCACAGCAGTGCCTTGGATACGAACTTAGACACTGTAAACAGCTCACCTTACTAAGGAGCACATTAGATCTTTATAAATGATAAATGAAGCTTTGTGATTACCAGCGAAATTGTCTACACTATTCTGTTGTCCGGTTTTGTGTTGAGTTTGAGCTTGAGTCCTGCACGCTGGGTGGAAACCGTCACTGAAAATGTACACGTAGCACAGATAAAAACCCACCTTCTAGTCTAAGTGATCAGCACTTGAAAATGAGGAGTGTCAGATCTATTGGTAGGCCAATGTCTTCAATAGAAGCACTCATTGACTTCAGTGCACATGATTATCCGTTCCCAACAACACCGATGACCAGCAAGACAATGTTACCAAGCTCAAATACTTCGAAGTAGGTCCCTGCGTATTCCTTTAGGAAATATCTCAAGAAAATAACAAAGCATACAGGACTTTGAGACAACGTGAGTTTGGGATCTGCAGTGCTAAGTGCGTAGGCTGTAGATGGTGGTGGTACGATTCTAAGTTGTGACAGCCGCATTGATTAGACAGTTTGCGCAGGAGCGACGGCGCTGAAATGTCGCTATTTTTAGTTGCGCATCCGTCGCTCCACCTGTCGCCCGACTTCTGTCGCTTTGGCTTCAACGTGTCCCAAGACTATATCTACCAACATCTTATAGTTACATTACCTGTTCAGCGGAAGCCCAAATCCCTTAAAACTATGCCAAGTTTCTCTTGGAACTTTTAAAAGCTGAAGATGATAAATTGAGGTTATTTGGCCAGATGATAAGCTAGATCTGAATGAGTTAGATGATACCACCTAGCAGAACAACTTAGGTGATTTATTATAGCATGTAAATTGAAACTAAAGTTGATAATAGAAAAAAATTGCCGCTCGGAGGTGGAGGAACTTGTGCAAGGTAGTTTGAGCAAGGAAGGGCAAACCAAGAGCGACGTCACAGCGCCAGGTGGAGCGACGGACGCGCAACTAAAAATAGCGACATTTCAGCGCCGTCGCTCCTGCGCAAACTGTCTATTCTAGCATTGTTCGAACCAGCTGAGTTTGTAGTTTTTATAATAGCGAGGCTAGCAAGTGCTAGCAACTATTTAGCAACATAGCAGTTGCTACTGTCTGTAGGAAGTGTGGGATGCTATGGAAAGAGTAAGCACCGTTGCCAACTTTCCTGATGTAGAGACAAACGTACAACATAATGAAACCTAATACCTCTGCGCCACATATCCTTGTATCACTTAACCATCTCCGGAATAACTAGATCTTCCAAATGTTTAGTAAACACATTCTGGTAACCTCAATGTCTGATAGTATTGCCGTAACAGATGCTTGTGGTGCAAGAGTTGATATGGTTTATTCGACAGCTTTGGATGAATCAGTAATAGTAGGTATGTCTTGTGAGAGGAATGAAGTAGCTGCTGATAATATAGAGGCAGCGACAGTCATTGCCGTCGTCCCTGCGCCTAATATGGACCCTTCCTCTGCTTTGAGAAATTCCGCTTCGCTGCTGAAATCAGGTAAGAAGCATGTCCACCAGAAAACGAGGCGAATACTCTTGTCAATGACACGCCGCTTGAAAAAAGGCAACGACGAGAATGAAGAAACATAGAACGCCGAGGATTGGTAGCCAGTCAAGCCAGTCAGATATCTCCAGAGCAACGATCAGATGCTTAGATGTGCTGACTAGACTGGAGAGAGTATCGTGTTGTGTCGTCGTTGATGTGAGGTTAGCTGATGATTGTTCTGAGAAATAAGATAATTGATTATTAGTGAATCAAACAGATCACAATCACTTACCTAACATTTGGGGCCCTGGGCGGACAAAACGGAGCGTTCGAGTTCAGCTTGCATTGGGCCAATCGTGCGCCATAGGGCTTCGGTGACATTGTTGCTTGCATTCATTACAGCATCACTAACTTTGCATTCAGGAAGGACATAGGACGAATGCGATAATGTACCCAGATTTCTCATCAAACTTCTTTTGCCTGTGGAGGTGACAGTCTGATTACAAATTCTATTGGCCTGGTGGTCTAGTAGTATGATTCCTTCTTAGGGTTCATAGAACAATTTGGAGGAGGTCCCGGGTTCAATTCCCGGCTAGGCCCTTTTGCTCCTTTTTTGCCTTTATTTTGTAGACAGACTTCAGACATTACATCATTAATTCTACCAGTGGAAGCGTGTAATTTGCTGAGGATTCAATCGAAGTGGCTTCTTCATTCACAATAACGTGCTATTTGGTTCCGATGGCCAGTTGACAAACGTCATTGAATCTGCGATAGGCGTGATATATTATTTTGGTGCTGGCTGTAGTTCCCCATAATCGGTGCACGACTGACTCACTTGCTTTAAGTATGTAACGGGAGCAGCAGCAGCGTTCCACGAAGTCGGCTAAATTCTCCTCTCACCCAAGCAGCTGTGAGCGCCGGTCGCCAGTCATAATGTAAGTTGAAGACCGTGATGCAGCGTAGGAATTACCCCGTTGAGTCCGAGAGAGATTTCATCGAGTTCGTCCCTGCTCAGTAATAGTTGGTAGGTTAGCTTTATTATAAGGGACGCGAGACATACTGTCCCTTGGCCTGGATATCGATATGAGCTTCATGAAACTGTAATCACGAAGCCTTTACAGATACCTTTTCACTGAATAACCTAGCAAAGACGCCTTGAATCATTGGTCCTTAAGTATGTGTTCGACTTGGAAATAGCCCATACCTCGCACTTTCATCAGTAATTGGTTGTTCAATTGGTGGAATGTCTGCTTTACACGCAGAAGGTCGTCGGCTTACTAGTCAGTCTAGATCATATCTTTTACTTTTCCATCAACATTCTTCATCCCTGTGCGCTTATTCCGCGAGATTATCTTCCATTTTTAGGAGGCGACATCAGGGATAAGAAAGTGTTGTCTGTGATGGCTAGTTGGTGAAAGGTTTCATGCATTGTGGATGTATAGGTAGATAATTCCTCGTTATTACTTACATCTATGATAAATCGCCAATGAGGTTATAACCTTCATATCCATTTCTCAAGCCTGGAGATGAAAGCGCGAATAAACACTGTTCTTTGTAGCCACTGTTTAAATTACGATGAAAATATCAGAACATCGTCTCCTACAAATATCGAAGCGTCTCAATCCAATCGAAGGCTACGACACCCTCCATACGGACCGAAACTTGCACAGGGCTGACCTGCGGACGAATAATGAGCTGGATACGTACTTTATTGCCTATCACTTGAAGACAGAGCTTCAGAGCTTGAATTCGGGATGTCACCCTAGATTTAATCCTACTACTAATGTCGCGGTAAGTTAATTCCTGAAGCTCAATGTTTCTCAGAGGCGGCATGTCCTTCGATCGACCACTGGCAGTGCGTTTCATGTAACATGTGTCGATGAAGTGATTACAATATCCAACTAATTATACATCGATATACTAACAAAGAGCAGAGGTCAACCGGAACGGATATAAAGATATACAGCTAATATGAAACGTACTAAATATCTCCAAGGATCCAAGGATCCAGCAGTCTTGAACGTATCGTACTCAAACAATCCATCTCATCATATGTACCACCACCAAAACAGTCAGCAAATACCCTGAAAACTGCATTCCTATTGCCGCCGACGAGTTAGAACTATCATCCAGCAACAACGCCTGATTCCCAATCGTGCTATTGAGACAATTCAAGAAGGTCTGATTCCCAATAGTCGGAAGCGGCGTATCCGTGGCATTAGTGTTATTTGAAAACACAGAGGTATTGTTATATCCATCCAGACCAAGGGCGATGGAGCTAGAACGATAATATTGGATGACTTGTTCGGGTCTTGGGCCGGCGGAGGAGTTTGTGAATGGTGTGGCTTTAATATTTTGGGATGAGGCAGGGGAGCAGGAGGATATTATGGAAGGAATTAGTGCGGTGAGTGTTGCGTTATCGGACAGGAGGCGGAAGGTTTGGGTATTGTTGGAGCTGTTTGGGGGTTGGAAAGGCACGGTTAAGAGGGCGCCGCCGGGGCGAGAGGAGTTGGTGGGGTCACCGTACTGATTATAAGGAAGGTTAGTGTTGTCGTAAGATGAAATGGTTAAATATGAGGAGACGCACCTCATGATTGTTATTTAGCTGATGTGCGATAGCGAAACCGCCGAGACCGCCGAACGTGAGAGGCCAGAAACCGAAGGGGAATCCACGGCCTGCTACGCCTGAGACAGTTTGACCTGGGTAGCCACTACCGTATTGTCTAGAGAGTAACTTCAACGTCAGCTCCATATCCCATAACGAAACAGCAAGGAACGTACCTAGTCCCGTAGATTTCATCCCTCGTCCCGCCACCAAACGTTCTTCCTGCAAACGGCTGCCCAGAAGGGATCGTCGCAATCTTCGTCGTTCCTTTGCTTGCTGCACTTGCAGTACCAGTGTTGCTGCTCCCAGAAGTAACGGGTACGCCACGGCTGGAACTGCTGCTGCCTGAGCTTGAGCCTGAACTGCCGCTCGAAGTTCCACTCGATGATGATCCACTACTTCCGCTGCTGCCACTTCCTTCTGAGCTTCCACTGCTACCTCCTTCACTTCCTCCCTTTCCGCCTCCGCCTTTTCCTCCACCTAAACACATGTCAGCCTCGAGTCAGACACGATAACAAACAAAGGAATACCGCACCTTTTCGTCGTTCGAGTGACTTTGTCTTCTTCTTGTCGCCGTTAAGCCATACAGATACTAATGGGACATACATTATGTGGCGTTAAGTGTTATTAGGAGATAATAGAGGCGTGAGTGAAATTGCCTTAGAGCGAGCAAAAACGCCGAGCTTTTGAACTTCTTGGCTGTCCTAAATATAGGCACTGGGCTCCGGCGAATAGGCGATGAACGGTTCGGCATGACGGCTGCACAGCTAGAGGCTATGCTGAGGCTGTGCGCCTTCTTATCTCAGTCTGCCACCGAGGAGCGGATGCTGGAGCGGGAGATAGATGTGGAGTTTTTTTTTGAGTTGAGAGAGCGATGAAGGGATATAGCGGTGTTGTACATCGGATGGAGCCAGAAAATTACTTATGGTGGACTTTATAGTCAACATCAAATCGGATACGAGAAGATACCGGTGTTCATGTGCCGCAGGTATGCGTTCACTAGCACGTCAGAATTAGGCTCTGTCGAAGGAGTTTATAGTGGATTGGTATAACTCGCGTAGACCCGGAGATTAACTGTCACTCCGGGCTCTAGTTATATTGGTCGCACCCTGCAATTTATCACCGGTTCTTCTTATACAACGCTGAGATACCGAGTTTATTTCGTAATTCACTCTGTATATACTTTCAGGCATGGCAGAGCTGTATCCTTCGACGTTGCCCGACACTGAGTTGACTGTTGAACCTTTATCACGTGTCATGTCTTGTTCGGATTGCTTCTGCCTCAGCGCAGGGTTCTCTTTCAAATAATTTGAGAATAATCAGCGGTCACTATAAATATAAGATAATAAAGTACCTTCTACAGTTAACATTGTAAGATATTTAGTAGAAGACCAGACAACTGTGATTCTCTCAGTGCTCCTTCTGTCCCATTTCCGAAGATCAAACAGAATATTCCTAGGGGTCGCTCTCCCTCTTATTTCGACAATTAAAAGACACACACACACATATATATACTATAGTGTCGTTCCACGTGTTCCTAATTGCCTATGATCAATAAAAAATCAGAGTTCAAGAAGAACCTAGCGGAGATACACGGCGAGGGGAGTGGGAGTGGAAGCGAAAGGGAAGGTGGAGGCGCAAGCAATAGGGCGAGTAACATTGACAACAGTACCAACAAAGGTAAGTCTTGCGGGAGCAGTAGGAATTGAATAATTTTACTCACTTAAATGCTCACAGGCTCCAGCGTGGCTACTGCGATTGAGATCTCATTAGATGATGAAGATCCCGCGGATACCTGCATTGAAGGTATGTCGTCAATAGTAAAACGAAAACTACTCAGAACTTACCACCATGAGAGGAGAGAAGCTTGAGATAAAGAGCGAGCGCAGCCCTTCGCACTATCAGACACTCCCTCCGACTCCATCAACCTCTTCTGTTGAGGGATACATCATGCGCTCCGACCAGGCAGAGCTACACCGATTTGCAGATGGGAAGGGAAAAGAGAGGGCTGTCAATTAGCTTAAAGAAAATGTGATTAAGCGCAACTTGATGATACGTATGTAAAGACTCACTTCGAGAATAAAGCGAACAGGCCCCATTATGCTGAGTATTGCGTGAATCCTGAGCGAGTGAGATTCTGACCTTTGGAATGATCAAGATAGAGTTTCGACTTTATTGAGTGATACCCATATTGATTACATATAGTCAGATACTGAACGAGACCTCAAAGATGAACAATGAGGGTGTAAGACGTTGAACAGCGAGGTTCGAGTCGTCAATGCTAAAAGGAACATGTCACGTGACACTTACGCGTCCAAGTTCAGTGGTCAAGGTTTAAACGTTGATCAACACTGACTGAACTTACTCACAGAGCTTGAGGCTTTGAGGGTTCATGCCGCCGAGACGTACTACGTTAGGTCTTGGGAGCTCAAGTTGCCGAGACTTTTGATGATGCTTCTTTGCAGTTGAAGACCGGACGGAATCATTTCGGTCAGCGGGCCCGCTAACCGAGTTATACCAATCCACTAAAGACCGCTGTCGAAGGCTGTACACACTAATGTCTCACACAATATTAAACGTGAGACGTACCCTTCCTTTTATTCTCTGTGGCTAGTTGTAAATCAACGGCTTGATTGGGTCGTCGAAGCAACTAAGTATACCAAAGGCGAGCTGTGCAGAGTATCTTCCCCTGTCGTTAGATCTCCCTTTTAAATCTTAATTGGTACAGGAAGCATTGCCTGGCCACCTGAACTGCTTTAATAGGGGGTAGTGACTCAGGAGCGTCCTTGAGGAATCATTTCTGCAGCATTTTACTCAAAGACTTGGAAATACCCAGCGGTGCAGAGGTCAATTTTCGAGGCCTTGAGACCTATACACACTATTACTTAAAAGCCGATTAATCTCTATTCCTGCTAAAACATTAGAGGTTCTCTGAAATGACTCACTAATGCGGGCTGTGCATATGCTATGACATATATTTTCTCCTTTCGACACA